TCCAAAGAGAACTTTCAAGCAAACTACTAAAGATCAAAAACTTGCGATGGTGATGTTTATTGAAAATCCAGAAAATCAGAATATTATTGATGGAAAAGCAGTGACTGGTCTTCCTATAAGTGGTAAACCTATAACAAAAAATGCCGGATATGCACAAATGGCTTTATTTGTAAACAAGCATTGCAAAGACAGTGATTGGGATGCTAAAATTGCAAATGGCCGATGGACAACTTACAAAAAGACATATATTGATACTTGAAGATTAACTGAGTGTCAGGATGGGGATTAACAGAAAAAGATCATGAGAATGGAATAAATACCATAGAAGCTAAATTAGAAGATCTATGTCCATATTATAGTAGAATCGATATAATCTATGGTGAAAAGCAAAATGTTTAACCAACTTATCTAGAAAACTTTGGTTTGAATGATCAAAATTATATCGAAGGTATTTTAAATATGTAATAATATAACTTAAGTTTTGTAAATTTTATTAATTATATATATATTTTTATAGAAAATTATGATAATTCTGATAATAATCAAGTTCAAAAAAATAATTTATCTAGTTATAATAGTAGCGATAATATAAATAAAAAAAAAGAATTAGAAAATAACAATAATTTTAATAATATTCAAGATCAAAGAAATAATAGATTTAATTTTAATAATGACGATAATATAGATAATGAGAGTGAATTAGAGAATGGTAATATATAATTTGTTATTATATAAGTTATTTAAATAATTAAATTAAGATTTATTATAATAAAAGAAAATAGACAAATTGAAAAAACATCACTATCATTTATATTAGATGAATTTTCTTTGGATGATGATGGTAATAATTTATTCTTATCAAACATAAATATGTTATTTATAAATTTTGTAATAAAAAATATTTTATAATTACTAATAAATAATATTTAAAAGAAAGTGATAATAATAATAGTAATAATTGTAATTATAAACCAGAAAAGGAGAATTCAACTGGTATTTATTATATTTATATATGTATAATATTTATATCTATATATTTAATTATTAATAAAATAAATAATTATAGATGAAGAATCTAACAAAATTAATTCCAATACAAATAAGTGACAATATAATTCAAAAAATAATTTATCTAAGCGTCAGTGGTTAATGACATCAAACAAAAACAAGGATAAAAAAAAATTTGCTAAAGATATCTATTTTAATACAAAACAAAAAAGCCTTGAAATTGAAAAGGATCGAATAACAATTAAAAAAGAAATTGCTGAATTAAAAAAATTTGAAGTAGAAAAAAAACTAGAAATTGAAGAAAATAAACTTCAACTAGAAAAGGAAAAAAATTGAAAAAGAAGAAATAAATAAAAAAAAATCAACAGTATAATATTTTTTTAGAACTTGTACGTCAAGGAAAATCACTTACAGATATTAAAGAAACTTTAGATTTTTTTAATAATTTGTAAAATATACATGTAATTTTAAAAAAATAATATATATTATATTCATATTTATTATAATAATAATTAATTATAGCATATTCTAATATAATTATTATTTCTATATTATATATAAATATTTGAATTACAAATTATTTTTTTGAAGTACAAGATTTTGTATATATGATCACATTTTTTTTACCTTCTTCATTTAAATTATTATCTAATAAATTATCTGCAATTATTAAATTTAAATTTATTTTATTTATATTTTCTTCCCAAATATCTTTATTTTTTAATGTTAAATTATAAAGAATAATTGTTGCTTTAATAATATCTAAAACAAATTTTAAATATTTTTAGATAAAATTTGTATTTTGATTCTATTTAAATATCCAAATCTTTCTTTTAAAATACTATTAACATGCTCAATTCTAACACATTCTTTAGCAAGCATTTTATTAAAAATTGCATTTGTATAGATATTAGCTTGTAGTTTTTTGTAAGAAATTATTGTTGTTGAAGTAAGCTGATAACCACAATCTGCTAATACATATTCATATTTACTAAAAAATTTAGTAGGTTCTTGATAAAGTGGAGTAGATTTATAAGTAGTTGAATCTGTAACAGATTCTGGCTATCCAAAGTTTTTATAGTAAGTTTCTCCATCTTCTAGTGATTTGTATTCAAGTACAATATCAGTTTCATCAAGAAATCCAACACAGCCTTTAAATTCAGATAATTGCTCTATTCTACTACTAATTTGTTGTCGCTCAATAGAATCAGGCCACTGTACATATGTATTTCTAATTGAATTAATAGCTGTTACTATACATTTTGTATACTCAACCACAGTGCCAATTCCTAAGCTCCACTGTCTAGCAAATTGTCCTACAGAGACACCATTTCTATTACAACCTAAGCACTCTAAAGTTACTGCCAATTTTTGCTAAACTGGTCTTTGTAAATGTTTAGAATAATTTGAAAAAACAGGATTATTGCAAATTAGACTTTCTATATACCAAAATGTCTCTTTACTAACTCTAGTAATTTGCTTAAAATTATAATCATTATAATTAAGCAAAAGAACTTGAAAAAAATCATTAGATTTAATTGTTCTTTTACATAAAGTAAGATATCAATCTAGTTCTATGACTTGTATTAATTCGAATAGTTCATCAATTTCTTTATTCAGAACTTTAGTAATAGTCTTATTTGTGTTAGTTGAGTATTCATTCATAAGTGTCTTTAAAAGATTATTTATTTGTTTAATTTGATGTTGTTGATGTAAAATTTTAGGCATGTTAAGCATGAATAGTATTAGAAGCAGTATCGATTAATGATAAAATAATTTATAATAAGAAAGATCATATAAATAAGTGTATTCAAATTAACCTCTCCAATCTTTCTTTATCAGCATGCAGCTGATCATTTCTTATAAAGTTTATGATTAGCATTAGCCATCTTATTAATTGGTTGCATTTTTACCTGTGATCTGCCACATTTCCTTTTAGACTAAAATAGTGATGATTTTCATATAAAAATTTTATAAGATTATATCTTATTGATATATCTAATCATTCTGATCATTCTGATCATTCTAAACATGCTTCCCAAATTTTTTTATCGTATATGGGTTGTATTTATAATTTTTTATCTGTCACGTAAAAATATACTTGTAGTATTGGTTTACTCAAGAAGATTTACTCTCTTATATTTATTTGAGCACTAATCTCTGATTCCTAATAGATTAAATTTTAATTTTTTTTACCTATAACATATAAAATTTTTTTTTTTGATTTATTTATTTATTATATTTATTTTTTAGATCACCTATATAGATATTTGTATACAAAAAAAAATTAATATTAATAAATAAAAAAGAGCCTCCTCTGTAGTAAATTTGTCGAATAAAAGCAAACATTTACCTACACAATTTCAATCTTTTTTTTTTCTTTGTATTTTATATCAAATAAAATCTTGTTTATGCTCATTCATTTAACTTTTGAGCTAAACTTACGTTGATGATCACATTATCATTATAGTGATACAAGGCTATGAAAATGACGTATATAATTTTTGCTAATTCTTAAAATTGATATGCATAAATTAATTAATTTTTTCCTGATAGATCTCAATAAATTACCTTGAAAGGAATAATTATTCACATGTTGGCAAATATATAGTAAATTCTTTATAGAGATGCATTTTTATTTTTCTATTTAAAATTTAACTTTCATTGAGTTGCATAAAGTTTTTATAGTGTATACGTTTATTTTTATCAACTTAATGTGCTACAGTTCAAACTTGTTATAATAAAATGATCGATTCTAATATTATTAATAATTTTTTAAAAATTCCCTATCTAACTTCAGTAACGAGAGAATTTTAAATAGACTAGCTTTGAGTCGAGGTTCATTTTATTGAGATTTTATTTAATCTTCACTATATCAAAAATTTATGTAACAAGATTGACTTGTACTATCATATAACTGTATGTATTTGGGTTTAGGTATACTTAATAATTTTTATTTGCTAAAATTAATTCGCTTACATTAAAAAGTATGGTTATTACCATGACAATATTACAACTTTTTCTATTATTATTTATTATTTTTATCATAACTTTAAATCATCTTTTCGAAATAAATTATATTTTAAAAACTGTATTAAAATGCACTTAGCATTCTATTTAACAAATATATTGTTACGAATTATATTATCATAATGCTTATATAAATTTTACTACTATACTAAATTATGCATTGAAATAATATAAATACTTGTACCATAGATATAAATTACTTCTATTTCAACTCAATTCAATTCAATTCAACTCTTACAATATTTTTTCAATTTGATTAGTACATTTGATATACCCTCACATGCTTCATTCATCATTATTATAGTTATGAAAAAAAATTACACTTCTCTAACTCAGGGTCTTGCAAAGTATCAGATAGAGAAAATGAGTTTAGAATCATTTATTGGAAATACTTTTATCCTTATAAACAACCTTATACTGAATCTTCTGCTAGAGATATAGTAATGTTCACTAGTAAATTTGTTGTGGAAAATCTTGTCCAGTATATTACTGTTTTCTACCCTTGTATCATTGCGACCAGTGTTTCTGAATAAGCATTTTAGCAGATGAAATCCCACTTAGCTCTCCTTACTGCATGTTCACAATTCAAGTAACTCATGATCCAAAAGAATTAGAGAGTTCTATATACTTCGACACTACAATTCTCAATATAACTCAGTTACAAACTCGAAGAATGTTCTTATGAAATTAAGAGTATTTTACCCCACCAATGCTTCTCGATTCTTCTTTCTGCATCCTAACAGCATTAAAATAAACAAGACATATATTGTATCTGGTTTTATTAGGTGTGTAACTACTGATTTACTATTATCGTGCTTATAGACATTGATATTATATCTACCAATATCAGCTCAGTCTAGTATGTGCAAGAAAGCACTTCCTCGAATACTTCAAATAATCATTCATTTATTGATTTAATTGCTGAGGATGTTGATTCCACTACCTCACAACAATCAAAAAGACTTTGTATAATAATAACAAGATTTTCTAAACAAAGCACTGTCCCGCCTCTTATTGTCAATGAACCTGAAATTCCAATCCTGCCTTCTACTCTAGTTAATATTGGCCCTGAGACATTTCAAAGCCAAAAAGGTAAAAAAAAATTATCTAATTTAGCCCTGAATTGTCTTGAACCAATTACTGTGAATAGCTCTCAAGATAGAAGAATCTGTGTTGAAGATGCTCCTAATGATAATGATGATGATTTAGAATTCTTACTTCAACAAGAAGCCAACGAGGTCCCTAAAAAAACAAGAAGTGGTAGAACTTCAAAAAAAAGTAAAAAATAATCTATTCTATAAAATAATACCTTCTTTTAGAAGGTTATAAAGTTATCAGCTTATATTTATTATCATTGATATGTTTAAGTGATTACACCCTTTTCAATTTATTATCGACCATCACATGTACAACCTTATTTGTCAATCGATTATTATTAACTTTTAGTAAATAAATTCTTATAGTTAATTATCAATCTTCATGTGTCACCCTTATTTCTGTCGATCAAATATTAGTAAATGAATTTTTATTTATTAAATAGCCTAAATTAAATATTTATATATTTAATAAAATATACTTCATCACAAATATTGCAATTAAATATTATTGATAAAAAATCTAAATAACTTTCTTTTTAAAGAAATCAAAGTATTTACAAAATTTTTTAATTGTCCTTGCATAATATGATCATTGTAATTGATGATTGTTGATTTGTTATATTTAGAATGAAAATTTGATATTTTTTAAAAGTTATAAAAAGAGCATTAAAAATACCATCCTCAAGTGTCAATAAATCATATTTACTTTAATATATCAATTAAAAAAAACTCTAATATTTCCCTTTATCAAACATACAATGTTTTTCCAATAACCCAAATATCTATAGTTAATTTAGATCAGGATAATCCTTACTATGATTTATGTAATAATGATCTTTTAAGTCAACAAACCCGAATAAATGCTAATACTAACCATCTGTGAGCACCTACTTTTGCATCTACTTTTTTAACTGAAAATCAACATCAAACTACTTCCAACTTTAATTCTTTTCCTCCCTGGCAACCTTCTCATTCTTTACTTTCACTTCATAATCGTTTTAAACAGAAATTTTATATATGTTTCTATGTGTTCCTTGTTCACATTGTTTGGTTTTTATGTTTTCTGTCCAAGCAAGATGGGTCTCATGCGATATCAGTATGGATATGACCTTTGTTGAGCTTTTCCTTATTTATTGCTTACTGAACATTCTAATAAAGAAAATTATATTGCTGTGTGTTCTTCTTGTATATCTATTGCTAAGCATCACATTGCTCCAATGCTTGCTCAGATTCCAGATGCTCTAGCTAATGTTCTAATAATTCATCACCAGTGGCTTTCACCTATTTATTTAAGTTGCACTCTTGGGCATACTGAAAATGCTAATTGTTTTACACACTATTGCCACCTTACTGGTGCATTTGGTCTCTAAAAAAATATTCATGCCTTACAAATTTACTCTGGAATATTAGATGCAATATTAGATTCAGCATCTAGTGAAAATTAGTTTTATTTGTCTTTGCTATATGCAGCTAATTAGTTGAAAACCAATAATAGATTCTTTAAAAAATTTGATTGAATGTTTTTATCCATTGTTTTTATACTTCCTCTAAACATTTTCCCCACTGCCCAGATGATAAGTAAGGATGATATATTAACTAATAACACTCTGTTATGACTTCATTCAGATATAATAATACCACTATATGATTTTGACTCTGAATTTTACAATGAAGATTTTCATTATAGTAGACTGTTAGCAGGTTTCTTAAGAGATCCTAATAATATAGAGTTACCAATTCTAAATAATGATCCTAATTTAGAAGCTATACTTTTTTCTGATCTCTTTCCGGATAGACACAGCCATTGGGGTGAACTCTCTAAAGAGTTAAATAATTAGTATAATTATATTAATACATATTCAAAATATATTAAACTTCGACTATTATGTCCAGATCCTTGATTCTGTCTTCACTTGTATTGGCCATATTGGTCTTATATTAATTTAGAAAAACTACAAAATCATCAAAACAGACAACGTATTTTATGCCAACAAAATATGAATTGCCAACAACTTAATTAATCAAAGTATTTACAATAATTGCTGATTATTAATGAAATATTAACCACTATACTCCCTTCTTTTATTCAAACTGATGATACATATTTTTATCAATGACAGCATTTCATAAATGCGATGGTTCAAAGCTTTGGTCTACCTCAAATTTTCTATACTATGACTATGGCTGAAGGGCTTTGGCCACACTTATTAAAAATTCATCACATACTAATAACCATTGCACTTTACCATCAAATCATCCTCTATATACTTATTTCTATTACTATTAATGACTAAATTCTATTCAGAATTTACTATGAAAAAATCAAAATTTATCAGAATAGGGTAAATGGCTACACCATTTTGAACATGATGAATTTCAAAATCATGGCAGTATAGGTACTCACAAAATAGCTTATCTCAATAGAATAATTCCAAATTTAATAAATGACAATATTATTCATGCAGAGCTCCTTAATTCCCAAACTGAACCAGTTCTTTATGAACTAGTTTGTGCTCATCAAATTCATTAATATTGCCCTAATAGATGTGGTAGACCACCTCTTCCTGGTGACCAATACAGGAAAAAGTTTTCAGCACCATCATACTTATTATAACCCTACTTTATTACATTATACTTATCATAGAACCAAAGAAGCTAATCGATGGGTTGTTCCCTATCATGCACCTACTTTATTATTGTAGCAAGCACATTGCAATTTTCAATATGTCTTCTCTAAATCTTTCGCAAAGTACATGACTAAATATATTACCAAACTGGAAATTCTGACCTATTTAAGCTATCTGAACACGACACCTATCATTCTCATATCTTAGCTAGGCACCTCGGCATGATAAAATTAATGATTTTCTTGATTAGATATTCTATTTGTTATTCCACTATTGCTACAGAATATTTACCAACTACACCACCTAGTATCCAATCAAAGTGCATAAAGCCAATTCATCTATTAAATGGTGAAAATACCAATCCATACTGGGCTGATGCTATTAACAAGTATTTTCTCAGGCCTATTGATTCACGCTTTGATAATATTGTATTTCTATATTATTATCAAAATTATAAAATAATATTAACACAACTGAATTCAAATCATACCTATTGGGTAGACTAGCAAAATAAATTTGTAATTAGAAAAAAAAGACCAATTTTAGTATGATTTTAGTTTCTTTCAGTAGAAGATAGTGAATCATTTTTTTATTAACAACTTTTACTTCGTTTATCTTGTAGAAATAATGATGAATTATTAGGTTCATATTTAACCTATCGAGACCATTTTCATTCAATATTTCCTGAGCAATTCAATTAGGTTATGCAAAACATTAATCAGAGTATATCTGCAAAATTTACTAGCTTCTCTCATAATTACCTGCAACAGATAGATAGAATAATACATAGTATACAGTAAGATATTGCAACTATTATATGTAATCAGCTTAATAATTTAATATTTTCTCCACTACTAATTTCTCGATATTCATTGCTAGAAACACTGACTGACTAATATACAGCATTCAATATATTAACTTCAGCGTGGAAACATATAGGTAAACATAGTTATTCATATTTTTTCCTAACTAGATCGGCAGAAACCAGAAAATTGTATCTAATAACTTTGATCATAAATCACCTCAAATTACATCATAAAAAGTATTTGTTGATGGCACCAACAGGTGTGGCTGCTCAGAATATCGATGGTAAAATGATTTATTCTCAACTTAAAATATGTGTAAGTTTAGCCCTAAATGACTAGGAATGTCATCAACTTCTTCTTGAAACTAAAACTATTATAATTGATAAAATATCCATAGTATCTGCTAGCTTATTGACATTCATTAGTAATTTCTTTGCTCATCTGTACAATAATACTTTGCCATTTAGTAGAATCAAGGTTTTACTAATTAGTGACTTTGCACAACTGCTTCCTGTAAGTGGTGCACAAGTATTTTGATCACCTGTTTGGTCAAAATTTTTTTCTATATTTTTAACTACTCTTCATAGACAAAATGATGATATGATATTTTACAGAGTGTTAAATGAAATTCATAATGAAATCATATCAGCTAATATGTTACAAACAATTGATGATAAAATAAAATCACCATCATTACGCTCCTCTATTGATATCACTCACTTAGTTGAATTCTGTGCCATGGCCGATAATATAAATAAGTTAGTATGCCTCACTCTATCTTGAGAACTAGATGATTCTAAACCTGTTATCTCAACTACTATTGACCATATTAATAGTCAAGAATGGGATGTAGTAGATAATAATCATAATTTTTGTCAACTTACGAATTTATCTGCAACCTTAATTTTGCAAAAAGGTGCACATGTCATGTATCTTGATAATGATTTATTTAAGCATGGTCTTTATAATAGATCTATTGGAATCATCATCGAATTAATCAATGAAGACACAGTCAATGCCATATTTCTAGCACCACTAAGAATTATAACTGTATCCATAAAAAGAATAACCAAACATTTTCTTTTAAATGGCTTACTAGCGAGTCGATATCAGTTTTCTCTCCAGAATGCCTTTGCTCTTATTGTATATAAAATACAAGGATTAACAATATCTAATAATTCAGTTACTATAGATGAGCAGATGTTTGTATATGGGCAGGTGTATGTTGCATTTAGTCGAGCCCCTTCTTGGAATTCACTAAATATTACTTCATTCGATCCAACTTATATAAGAACTGACCCAGAAGTTATCACTGAATATGAGCAATTAACTTCATTATATAATGCTGGTTTAGGCAATTTTTTATACTGTTTTTCTTGATCATATATATTCAGCTTTTTGTATAATAATATTTAAATCAATAAAAGATAATTACCATTACCCCACTCTATCATCTCTCTTCTCCAACCATGTGCATGTTCAAATTAGACTAAATGTTAAGTAGATATAACCCAACAAAGCAAAAAATAACCAATAGTGTAGTGTCACCATTAAAAGAACAACAATGAAAACAATCTCAATTTTTTTTATATTTATAATTTTCTCATCTCTGCTACCTAATCTTATTGTGTAAAATCATAAGCTATTATTATATAAAGAAAATAATTCAGTTTACATACAAAAATATAAACCTATCACACGATAATTTTTTATTTTTTTTTTTACCTCGTATGACTTCTCTAAATATAAATCGTAATAAAAGGTACAAATATCTTTAAGTAAGCATTGACTTCAACATAAAAAACTAGGACCTAAAAAAAAAATCGTTAATTTTATTATAACTTTCAAAACGTTTTCGTAGGGTTCGAACCCAATTTCATTATGCTAAATACAATTTTCACACAATAAATAAACTGCTTCCAATCTTTAAATGACCGATTTTCCCTTGATCTAGTATACTCGCTTAAAAAGATACCACCTACCACAAAACTAAACAGCTTGAATAAGAATAAATTGATGTGCCGCTGTATATTCATCACCAAAATTTGTACAAGGATTACTATCGATTTTTATCATTATTGGATAGTAATCGATTTAAATCCCCCCTGACGAGGACTATCGATTAAGATAGTAATTGGTAATAATCGATAATAATTGATAGATATCAAATTAAAAATCACGAATAACAATACTATTATACTGTATATTTATTTTTAAACATTTTACAGATTTTCACATATTTTTGTATATTTTCACAAGATTTCGCAATTTAATATAAAATTTTATATTTTTTTATT